GACAACACCAACAACGAATGGTGATGTTAAAAAAAAAGGTTGGTTAAAAAAAAAAAGATCTGTATATTTATTTTGTTATGTTAATTCGTGTAACAGAAAAGAGCCGACATGGTTACGTGATTCCGAGATAAGATCGGTGATCGATTAATCACATGACCCAGAAAATCTCACCAACATCCTGGATCTGTCATTAATTTACCATCAATTATCTATGCTCTCTATTAACACAAGCGTCATATTTATACATTCTTAGACTAAGACGGTCTCGGTCTATGATCTGTTTCTCGGACCAAGATCTGTGATCTCAGACCAATATCAGTAGTCTCAGACCAAGATCTGTGGTTTCAAACCCAGATCTCCCATACACAGCCACTATATACAATCATACCAATAACCTCTTTACACTAATTTTTCCGACTTTAGGGTCGCCGACCATACCAACTTTAACCACCACACTGTTTAAAGCAATGACCTGCAAATTTTTCAAATGACCTCAAATCATCTCAATTTTGGGTCATTTGGAAATGACTCATGTCCAAATGACCATGACTATTTAGAAATGACCGGTCATTGGAGGGTCATTTAGTCATTAAGTCATTGTGCATATAGAGTTTGTATCCCAGATTTAATTTTTTCTACATAGATTAAACTTTAACTGCATAACGATAATGCATATAGAATTAGAAATAGGCTAGGTATTTGTAGGCTTGACCCAAGTCCAATAAAAATTTATATATCCGTTCCAACCCAGGAATGGTAAATGACCCAGTCGTTTGATCGAAATTTAAATGACCCAAATAATTTAAGGTTATGCATATAAAATAATTTTATCGTCTGGGTCCTATGTAACAACTGACACTTTTTTTGTTTACTTATTCGGGCATATTATTATTAAAGTCATATGACTTTATTAATAATATGCCTGAATAAGAAGTAAATTGTGCAATTTTATACGTATATTTACTTTAACGTTAGATTTTATAATTCACAGCATTATAAAATATTACAAATTTGCAAGAATTTATATAAACTTAGCAGAGAAATTAAATTATTATCTAATTATTAAGTGAAATATTTAAAGTAATGTTAAGTGGTTTGTCACTTTCGGGAAGTTGAATTATAACATTATTTGTAGCTTTCTTCAACGGCGTTCTTTGGCAATACTTGTATAGTTTGATTTTTTCAGGATCATTCGTAGGAGTCTTAAATGGCTTGAGGACTTTAGAATTTAAACCATCGATATATAGGGCAGCACGTTTCTTTTTTTGCAATGTAATTTCTTTCATTTTAAGGTCATTATTTTCTTATATGCATTAAAAACAAAAAAAAATTAAAATTACATTACAAACTATATAAAATAAAATACATTTTTAAATACCTTTTTGAAAATCCTGTGAGTACAGTATTTTAATTGAATCTTGTGAATCTTGTAATTCTTCAAGAGCAGAATCGGGAGACTCTTCAATAGCGGAATTGGGAAAATCTTCAACAGCTGAATCATAAGACTCTTCAATCGCTGAATTGTGAGACTTTTCAATAGCTGAATTATCCAAATTCAATACATCAATATTTAAATTCGAAGCTAAAAAAAAAATTATTATATATATATTTAAATTAATCATTAAATATATGTAACTATAGCTTACATGCCGGTTGATTATCAATTATATCATTCAAATCAAACTCATTTAAATCTTGCTCTTGCGATGCAAATGGAATCAATAATGCTGTGGATGCAAGTCTTTGATCATATGATGGGTCACTATATGCACGAATTCCTTCTCGAGATCTGTGGCCAGAAAACATCATTGTCTCATCTTCAGGAACATTTGATCGCTTAAGTATTGTGATTGCTGTACGTCTTGCGCTATGATTAGTAATTTTTCGATCATCAGCAAGATCAATTCCAGTATTATTCGCGATTTGATTAAGCATCATTTTAAGTTTTTTTTCTCCCATTTTAGATGGCTTGTACATCAATCCTTTTTTTAATTCTATGTATTAATAAAAATAAATTAACAAAAATATATTTGTATATATGTATATAAAGATATTAATAAAAATTAAAATTACCTGATTGTTTTCTAATGCATTCTAAAAATAGTGCATCAGTTGATTGACATTCAGAAGGACATTTTGATAAATACAATAATATATCTTTTACAGGTGTAAATTGGTTCTTGGGATTGTCAGCTGGAATTGGAATAGATCGAGTATTTGTACAACTATATCGCTGACGATAAAACACACCACCTTGATTATTCTTTTCTTTTCGTAAGCGCAACTGTAATCCACCTTCAACTTGCTTTTCAATATCACGAAATTGTAACTTGTAAGTGTCACCACCCCGTAAGCCACATAACAATGAAAGCCAAAAAAAACTCGACGAAGCAAACTTTCATTATTATTAATTGATAAATATTCATGATTTAAACAAGAAACTATTTCGTTAGGTGTTAATGAATCACTTTTATCAGTGTCACCATAACCTTTATCTTGTAATGATCTCATCTTGCCATCTAATACTCGGATTGTTCTTGAAAATGTATATTTGTCCCAAATGTTAACTTTACCCGGAATAGAAGAATTTTTATGTAAATAGCATGCTAATGCAGCATAACAGTTGTTAATTGATTCAACTTTAAATGGTTTGCCATCAATTTTCGTAAGCCATGCAATAAACAAACTTAAAAATTCATCGAGTTCAGCTTTATTGTCAATTTGATCAATCATTTTATCAATATTATTTGCTTGACGATATCTGTCACATGACGGAGCCATTTAGTAGTGTTTTTTTCAGTATTAGCTATATAAGATAGGTTTTTTTAAATGTTAGCTTCTTAGTGTAAATTTCTATTAGTCATTTTTTAGAATCCAAATAAGAAAAGGATAAAAAAAAAAACAAATAAAACAAATAGCTTAAATATCAAAAAAAAAGTTTTTTTGACGTCAAAAAACTGTTACATAGGACCCAGATGATAAAATAGCTATCATGCACAAAATGTACGATAACTAAATTATTAGCTCACTCAAAAATATTAAAGAGAATATTAGTTAAGAGAACGTTAAAGAGAGTATTCAAGAAACATCTTCTAATTCTGATTTTGATGAAGATGTGCCTGATTCTGCTTTAGTTTAAGGTGCACCTAAAATTATTGTTAAGAATTGCAAAAATTGCAATATCGATATAAACATTGCTTTTAATAAATAATCGAATTAGAATGTATTATTGCTAGTACATGATTTGCTTTTAATATAAATTTATATAATGCTCAATAATTAAATTCTTGGCACATTCAATGACAATTTTAAAAATTTTGCCCTGATATGATAAGAATTTTAAAGGTCCTTTGGCTTCATGTATGACAATTTTAAAAAAATTTAGCACCGGTCAATAAGAATTTTAAAGTTATTTTGGCCTTACACAATGACAATTTTAAAGCTCTTTTGACTTATACAATGACAATTTTAAAAAAATTTGGCCCGATACAATAAGAATTTTAAAGTTCTTTTGGCCTTGTGCAATAGCGATTTTAAAAAACTTTGGCCTTAGTATGATAAGAATTTGAAAATCTTTTGATCTTATACGATGACAATTTGGTCCAGTACAATAAGAATTTGAAATATCATTGAAACATTATTTCTCCCGGGGTGATAATGGAAAATGTGGGGTGATAACGGCAAACACGGGGTGATAACTATTGGTAAAATAAGCTTATTAAAAGTACAGTGATAAAATATATGATTAATAATATGCAAATTCCCGTCATGCGGTCATAGTGGGACGTGGAATAATTGAATGTTAATTGAATTTTAATTTTAATTTCAATAATACATCAATTACGAATTGATTTATGATTATTTATTTGAGTTGGAATAATATCATTACAAATTATAGATAAAAGCATATAATCATTAAGCAAATTGTTTTTATTAAAATTTTTTGAAATTTTAAACAACAATAACTTAATCAAATTTAATAAAAAATTATTTAAATGAATTCTACAAACTTCAACATTTATTAAAAAAAAATTTATTAAAATTTTGTTGAAATATTTTTGTTTAAAGTTTCAAAAAAATTTACTTAGAAAAAATTTATTGACTCAACTCATATTATTTCGATAATTTTTTTTTTAAATTTTGAACCTAATACATAAGGCTCCAGTCCTATAAAACGCCATACGAATAGTCCCCTCACAGTAGAACGAAATGTCAGATTCTATTCCTTACGATCCTGAAAAGTCTGCCTTATTAGTCATTGATATGCAAGTAAGTTATAAGAAATACTGTATATATTAAACTCCAATTCTGCCCAAACTTTATCGTTATACTCTAATTTTGCTAAATTTATATTCTAATTTTGCCCAAATTTATACTTTAATTCTATTCAAGTTTATATTCGAATTCTCCGAAATTAAACTCCAATTCTGCCCAAACTTTATCGTTATACTCTAATTTTGCTAAATTTATATTCTAATTTTGCCCAAATTTATACTTTAATTCTATTCAAGTTTATATTCGAATTCTCCGAAATTAAACTCCAATTCTGCCCAAACTTTATCGTTATACTCTAATTTTGCTAAATTTATATTCTAATTTTGCCCAAATT